AATAGATCAGTGAACCACAAAATTAATGGGACAATTTGGAATAACAACATCACAAGACTCGTTAAGTTTCTCTTAAACAAGAAAAATATCTACAAAACTATAGGAATTTAATATTACAAAAAAAAAAATCGAAGTAAACAAATTTATCTAACAACTTTGCAGTCCTTGAATATATGTGCTGCAAAAAAACACAGGACCAAATGGAGTGGTTGATGTGCTCAAGTGGCCCATTGGGCAGTTCCAAAGAAAGCTATAAAAAGATCAAGTTATGAACCAAACCCAACTAATTAACAATAATTTTTCATGTGGAATGGTGCCTTACCATTGATACTCTTCTTTCTGTAGCTTCTTCAAGACAATGAATCACTCTCCCTCTCTTTGCATCCGATTTTGCATGGGATGCCTCTCAAGAACAAGACCTCGGAAAGAAAATCAAAAGATTTAGTCGATAGTTTTAAATTTAAGAAAATCCAATAGCTCATAGATTTAGTTAATCTTTTCTGCAATAGAGAGGTGAAGAGAGAGAAAGGGGGAGGGAGGGGGAGAGAGAGAGATGTTTGAAACGATGAACCATGTGGTTTTTGTAACCTTCTAGTTCTAACTAGTAATAGTGTCATAAATACATTCAATGCAGATTAAATAGAGTTTAAAAGTTAATTCGGTGACTAATTAGTGGCCATAGTTGCTAGGCCAAGACTAATGAAATCAAAGAGGCTCAAGTTGTCCACTTGTTTGTTCAGTCTCTTTGAGCGGCTTTTTGGCAGTCCACTTTCACGATTAGAGCTTATTAGTATGTAATACATTAATGCAAATCCATTAGGTTAACTATTAGTGGAAGATAGTATTGTAATTAATTGATTAATTAAGGACAAAATTGAAAAATAAAATTTTTTCTCCTTACAAAGTGTTTTTAGAAGTAGTATAGATATGAATATGGGTTAATTACAAAATATCCCATTCAAGCTTGGGTCTTATTGCAATTAACCCCCTTTGGTTTTAATTTAAACAATGTGCCCCCTCCAAATTTGAACGCTATCTCAATTGCCCCTTGTCGTTAACTCAACTATCAAAAATTTGACAGAAGTTGGCCAATACAACTAAAAGACATAATTACCCTCTAATCTCATTGTGTACGAAAAAAATTAAAAACTTAAAATATCTCACCTCTCACCTCTCCTCACACCCACCCCCAAACCCTTCAGCAAAGGAAAACCCCACCCACCCCTTTCTATGCATGGCAAAAACCACTCTTGAGTGTAGCCCATTACACACCTTTGCTATGAATAGCAAACCCACCAACCCCAATAATGCAGTAACCCTTCGACAAGCAAAACAAATACACTCGTCTACACTGACAAGTAGCCCCACCACTCCCAGTTTTAGTAACCTTCTCCGACCATCACCATACCGTCACTCTCGTCCACCACTTTTGGCTGAATTAGAGTAAGTTTAGAACTCCAATCGGTGTTTGTTAACAGAATTATAATGAATTTTTGGTGTCTCTACTCATGGTTGGGTTCCAAAATAATGGAGTCGAATTAGAAAGCTTTGTTGGTAGTTGTGGCACTACCTATATGATGATGGGTCTGGGTAGTGGTTGGATCTTTATAGTGATCTTATTCTCTTTCTTCTTGTTTTATATTTATATTTTTACTTTTTGGTGTCTGGTAATGGTTGTTTGGTAAGCACGACGATTGGGTTTCGGGGGGCGTTGGTGGTGGTATACATTAGGCCATGAGGGGCTAAGTTGATATGGGGTGCATCAATCTAGTGTTGAGATTAAATGAATCTGTGACTAGATTTTTTTAAAAAATTTTAAAATGTGTTTAATTAAGTTGATTGCATTTAAAGTTGTAGTTGAAGTGTTGGTATTAAGGGTTCGGTGAAGGCTATGGTGATGGCAGAGGTGAGGATGGGGGCAATGACTCTAGCCATAAAGGTGGATATATGGAGATGATGCTAGTTCTTAGAGAGAGAGAGAGAGAGAGATTGTGATTGTGATTGTGATTGGAAGGGTATTTTTGTACTTTTACATTTTTCATCCACTCCATCAGTTAATTTGGTCCAATAGAAACTTGGAGGGGGCGCATTGTTTAAATTAAAACCAAAAGGAGCCAATTGCAACATGACTTATACTTAAAGGGGGTATTTTGTAATTAACCCTATAGATATTGATATAGATAGAAATAGATATAGATTATATTGTAGTGGCTGGCTTTTATTTTTGGATAAATTACAATGACACCCCTATATATTAATCTAATTCCAGATACGTTCCCTCAGTTATCTGAAATTACACTGAGCTCCCTCCTAGTTCATATGTTAGTTTCACATAGTACCCTTGGCGTTAGTAAATTTTCTATATTAAATACCAAAATTACCCTTGAATAAAATTTGGTTATGTTATTCCAACACCCAAACATACTTTATCCCTTAATTGGGAAATTCCCACATACATCCAAACACCAAATCTCCTCTCTCGCTCTCTCTCACTCAGCAGCTGCACGTTACACCNTTAACCCCCTTTGGTTTTAATTAAACAATGTGCCCCCTCCAAATTTGAACGTTATCTCAATTGCCCCTTGTCGTTAACTCAACTATCAAAAATTTGACAGAAGTTGGCCNTAACTTACCGAAATTATTACATTATTGTATAAAATAATCAACAAAGTTAAGGACATAAGAGAAAATTTCACGTTGAAATAATTGATGGGAATAGATCAGTGAACCACAAAATTAATGGGACAATTTGGAATAACAACATCACAAGACTCGTTAAGTTTCTCTTAAACAAGAAAAATNCCAATACAACTAAAAGACATAATTACCCTCTAATCTCATTGTGTACGAAAAAAATTAAAAACTTAAAATATCTCACCTCTCACCTCTCCTCACACCCACCCCCAAACCCTTCAGCAAAGGAAAACCCCACCCACCCCTTTCTATGCATGGCAAAAACCACTCTTGAGTGTAGCCCATTACACACCTTTGCTATGAATAGCAAACCCACCAACCCCAATAATGCAGTAACCCTTCGACAAGCAAAACAAATACACTCGTCTACACTGACAAGTAGCCCCCACCACTCCCATTTTTAGTAACCTTCTCCAACCATCACCATACCGTCACTCTCGTCCACCACTTTTGGCTGAATTAGAGTAAGTTTAGAACTCCAATCGGTGTTTGTTAACAGAATTATAATGAATTTTTGGTGTCTCTAGTCATGGTTGGGTTCCAAAATAATGGAGTCGAATTAGAAAGCTTTGTTGGTAGTTGTGGCACTACCTATATGATGATGGGTCTAGGTAGTGGTTGGATCTTTATAGTGATCTTATTCTCTTTCTTCTTGTTTTATATTTATATTTTTACTTTTTGGTGTCTGGTAATGGTTGTTTGGTAAGCACGACGATTGGGTTTCGGGGGGCGTTGGTGGTGGTATACATTAGGCCATGAGGGGCTAAGTTGATATGGGGTGCATCAATCTAGTGTTGAGATTAAATGAATCTGTGACTAGATTTTTTTAAAAAATTTTAAAATGTGTTTAATTAAGTTGATTGCATTTAAAGTTGTAGTTGAAGTGTTGGTATTAAGGGTTCGGTGAAGGCTATGGTGATGGCAGAGGTGAGGATGGGGGCAATGACTCTAGCCATAAAGGTGGATATATGGAGATGATGCTAGTTCTTAGAGAGAGAGAGAGAGAGAGATTGTGATTGTGATTGTGATTGGAAGGGTATTTTTGTACTTTTACATTTTTCATCCACTCCATCAGTTAATTTGGTCCAATAGAAACTTGGAGGGGGCGCATTGTTTAAATTAAAACCAAAAGGAGCCAATTGCAACATGACTTATACTTAAAGGGGGTATTTTGTAATTAACCCTATAGATATTGATATAGATAGAAATAGATATAGATTATATTGTAGTGGCTGGCTTTTATTTTTGGATAAATTACAATGACACCCCTATATATTAATCTAATTCCAGATACGTTCCCTCAGTTATCTGAAATTACACTGAGCTCCCTCCTAGTTCATATGTTAGTTTCACATAGTACCCTTGGCGTTAGTAAATTTTCTATATTAAATACCAAAATTACCCTTGAATAAAATTTGGTTATGTTATTCCAACACCCAAACATACTTTATCCCTTAATTGGGAAACTCCCACATACATCCAAACACCAAATCTCCTCTCTCGCTCTCTCTCACTCAGCAGCTGCACGTTACACCTCCACCCACAAGCACCACCATAGTGCACCTCCATGTCCTCTAGAGACTCTCAGACATAAACACAAACAATAGAGTGCCCTAAACCCCAACACAAATCAAATCCATCATCCAAGTACCAATTCAACCAAACCCACCAAAATTCAACCGCAAAATTAATCAATAAACCATAAATGAAATTCAAAATCTAAAAATTCAATGCCGATTCAATTGAAAATTCAAGGCAAATGGGTTTCGGACCTATCCAACATAATCAAACCCAGTTCAACCAATCCCTCATCACACTAGCTACCAAAGAGCACCACTCCTTTACCCTCAACTACTTGTAAACCATCATCTACAATTCATAACGATAGAAAATGGTTGTCGGCTAAGGGGGTGGCTTGGGGAAGAGGGCAAGTGATTGTTGGGGGTTTTTGGACATTGAGCTTGCTTGTGTTGGGGTTGGGAGGCAAACAGACATGCACATGGGTGTTGGGGGAGGTTGGCAGCGTGATCGGGAATGAGGAAAGGTTGTGAAGGTGTAGGGCGTGGGTNTTGGGGGTTTTTGGACATCAAGCTTGCTTGTGTTGGGGTTGGGAGGCAAACAGACATGCACATGGGTGTTGGGGGAGGTTGGCAGCGTGATCGGGAATGAGGAAAGGTTGTGAAGGTGTAGGGCGTGGGTGTGGGTGGGCAGCGATTGCAGTAGGAATTAGTAGTGGATCGCAGGTTTGTGGAAGGTGGGGTGGTTTTGGGTAGGCAGCGATTTGGGGGGGGGGGGGAGAGAGAGAGATGGAAGTTTCTGGTGGAAGGAGAGAAAGAGAGGAAGAGAGAGGAACTTGGGTAATTGGGTGAAGAAAAAGATTAGGTGAATGTGTATACATATATACATATATTTTTGTATAAATAAAGTGAAAATGGGTAAATGGGTGAAAATCAATCTCACTTGAGGGTAGATTGGTAAAAGGGCAATTTCTGTTAACTCTGTCAGCAGACTGTCAATGTAATTTCAGAGAAGTGAGGGGTGTATCTATAATTAAACTAAACTACAAGGGGTTTCATTGTAATTTACCCTATATTTTTCTTAGCTGCAATTTTATGTGTTATATGATTTCTTCTTATATATGCCTGCATTCTGTGTTTGGTTTACAGAAACTCAAGGAAAAGGCTGCATTTAGGAATCCGGATGAATTTTACTTCAAGATGGTCAAAACAAAAACCATTGGTGGAATCCATAGGCTGGAGTAATATTAAATTACATGACCTTATATCTTTTGCTATTTCCACTTCTAAATATGACTTATCTGACTTCTTATGTATTGGTACAGGAGTCAGGCAAACAAATACACTCCAGAAGAACTCATGTTGATGAAGACCCAAGATATAGGTTACATCCTGCAGAAAGTTCAAACTGAGAAAAAGGTTGAGTAGTATAAAGGTGGATTTTAAAGATTTAAGAGTCCCTCTTAGTACATTCCTTGTGAAATTTTTTGTTTTCCTGATGCAGAAAATTGAAAGGCTTACTGCCATGCTGCACTCTCTTGATAATCAGCCACCAAACAGACATGTGCATTATGCTGAAGACAGGTATGAGCTTCTTGGTCTTTCTTTATTAGCAATTAAGGAAAATGAAATTATTGAGCTGGGGATATTAGTTGCTTTACTTTGTCCTTTTACAACAACATGTGATTGCTTATGATGTGTTCCCTTGTTAAGAATATTGATATAGATTTGAAAAATATTATTCTCAAAAAGGAAAAGGAAAAGGAAAAACTGGAGATTGATGTGTAGTTGTCATGGTATATTTACTTTATGTCAGCGCACATAGTTTTAAACCTGATGACAGTCAAAAAAGCATTACGCGCCACAAAGTAAACATCAAAGACACGATCATACAACATGACTAAACAAATCAAAACCTTCTGTTATATCCATATAAATAACATGTTTTAGAATCTAGACGCATTTGAGGACTATGCTTCAAGTTTCAAAGTTCTTCATTTGCGATTATATCTTATTTTGTGTTAGGTGATTTAAGGGAGACAATTTACCAATTTAACTTTATTTGTAATCCCTGCAAAAGAATACTGTTACAGGAATGATTTTTTGGAGGCCATTGCTAAAAGTTCCAGAGATTGGGGGCTGATAGCAGAAAATTTTCTAAATTGCAGCTAAAAGTTTTGGACTCTACATTTGGTTTTAAGCACTGAAATGATGGTTTAATGCAACTTGGAATGGGTGGGTCCCAGCCTGGCTAAAACTTCAGAATACATAAAAAACTGGCATCGATGATTCTGTAGATTATGGAAATCATAGTTGTATAGTTTAATGAAAATTGCATGATACTTTTATGTGCTTCAGAAGTTCATAACATTTGCTATGACACATATGAGACTTAAGAGATAGTGTTGCAGTATAAAGTTCTAAAAGTACCCTCAGGGTTTTGAACCAAACTACGATCGATCAATAATTTTGTTAGGTTCCAAACAAGAAAATGCTTGCCATTCTGAAGATAAAAAAATAAAAAAAAACTGGCTCTGTTGTTGCTCATGAAGAAACAAAATCTACAGAACAACCAAAACTAAATTGTTAAAGCCTTCCACGACATAGGAATGGTTTTGCATAGAGTTTTTCAAAATTTCTAGACAGAACTTCCAAATGGAAAAAATGGTAATCATTAATATACATGGGAATATAATACGTACGAGTGGATATGGTGTTCCATCCAATTCACTATTAAGAGAGTAAGAAGGGGATGTCATAGCAGCATGATAAGAATTCATAACAGTTGATACATGAACAATATTCAGCCAGCATAGTGTGTCACTTGGAAATCATTTTGTCTGCTTGCTTATTAATCTGAAACATTGAACTGGCCTTTGGAAAAAAAGCTGTCTGATCACCTAATGACTGTTGTATAGTTTGTAACTTGACCCTCAAACATAATTGTATGTATCTGATTCCAAGGGATATTAATTTGAGTGTTGAATCTCGTGGACAAGGGAAATTGATATAAGATGTTTGAACTTTGTGCACAGTAGACTGGTGGAAGCTCTAGTGTGCCGTGCTACAAATATTTTTTTGAAGGAAGAAAGGAAGTAGAAAAGTATTTGAAATAAGATTCGTGAACTTGAGAAAGTAACTTAAAACAAATGCCCTGTATAACGTTATAGGTGGGAAAGATTGTGTTGGGACAAGTAAGAAAAATGAAATTATTGAGCTGGGGGGAAAATAGGGGGTTTCCAAGTCCATGGCCAAGTACTTCTTACTTCTTGGGTTGTAATTGCTATTTTATTAGGTTCAGCTACTACAGCTGTTCGGAACCCACAAACCATTCTGACCGGCGGTCAAAATTTCAAGAAAAGCTGTAGATGGTTGTGTATTTGTCATGGTATACAAATTTACTCCAGTTTTATATCGGCATGCATAGTTTTAAACCTGGTGATAGTCAAAAAAGCATAACACGCAACCAAGTAAACTTCAATGACATGATCACATAACATGATTAACCAAGCAAATCAAAACCTTTTGTTATCTCCATATAAATAACATGTTATTGACACATTTGAGGATTATGATTCAAGTTTCACAGTTCTTCATTTGCAATTATATCTTACATTAGTCATTGTCCATGTCTGACGACACTATGCAAGTAAAAGTAATCAGCAGCCGACAAAAAATGCATTCAAAAGACTATCAGAGGTATCGGAAAATACTCTCTTTAATGTTAATTTTATCCTCAATAAAATATATTAAGACGAAAATCACTTAGTGAGTATACCCCAAACCATCGTGTATATGCCCAATTGAAGACAAAAGCCAAACAACACAAAATAATTTTGTCATCTTTCTTTTGATACATGTTGATTGTTCTTGTAATACATCATCAAATCTTCAAAGCTAATGAAAATTTATCTATATACATGATCTACCCCAACCACATTGTTTTTTAATGTATTTTATTTGAGTGTGAATGATGCAATTAATGGTAATAAGCAAGGAATTTATCCATTAAATAAAAAAGTAGGTGGAGAGCCTCTTTGAAGTCCATAGCTCTTTGAGAATTTCATCGAAGATGTGAGATCCTTTGGAATCCAAACAGCCAAATAACAAAATAGTTGGGAAATACTATTGCAAATTAAACAACTAAGCCCCTGAACATGTAGAGAATATAATTTGTATGTTTGGGTTCTTTTTTTTTTTTTTTTTGGGGGGGGGGGTGCTTGTGTGTTGTGTGTGCTATAAACAAAGGCTGCAAACAATAAACGGAACAAAATAGAAAAAAATTATAGAACACAGTAATTTACATGGTTTGGCTTGGCATGCAAGTCTATGTCCACAGGCGAAGTGTAGTGGCAAGATTTCAATATCAAAGATGAAGATTAAAAGTTCTCGTAAACAAAGGCAGCAAACGAGTGTTCAAACTATCCCGATATTACAAATTTTATAGGAATCAATACTCCTTTTCCAACAAATATTGGTTTAGTCCCAAATAAAACCCAAGAAAATACGAGAGATCCCCCATTGCTCACGAAGTAGGCCAATTTTGATCAAAGGTTGGAGAGATCCGTTTTTTGTTTTGGATCAAAAATTGGTCCCAAAACTTGATTGCAAAACAATGTTTTATTCTTTCACAAAGTCAAAAGTCTTGATGAGAAAAAAAGTTCTTCGTGTTGGACAAGCCAACAATGTCCTACTTAATGTCAAACATGTATTGCAAGTTAAGCCTTCTCTGGGGTTTCAACTAACGGGAAATTAGTTCCAACCCAAACTCTCTTGGCACAAGGTCACAAGCTGCTTGCAAATGGATCAAATAATTTCAATGTTGGATTAGGATAGACCAAAGAGGAAGAAAAGAAAAATNCCAACTAACGTGAAATTAGTTCCAACCCAAACTCTCTTGGCACAAGGTCACAAGCTGCTTGCAAACGGATCAAATAATTTCAATGTTGGATTAGGATAGACCAAAGAGGAAGAAAAGAAAAATCAACAATTCTCTAGCTTGACTTGTATTCCATCAAGCTATCAAAACAAAAAAAGTGAACTTGACCACTGTATTCACCACAAACCCTGAAGGATATAACTTCAATTTTGCAAACACCAATCAAGTTCAAGCATTGCTTGAATTTGAGTACTGATATAGTTAACATATTTGTTGTAGTAACCTTCGTCACTTTGACAATACCTTTGATCATAATTTTGTGAAATGATATCTAACATCAATGTGTTTAATCCTTTGATACATTTGATTTTTTTTTTTTTTTTGATCCAAGATACATTTGATTTTCNATTGCAAACACCAATCAAGTTCAAGCATTGCTTGAATTTGAGTACTGGTATAGTTAACATATTTGTTAGGTTTTTTGTTGTAGTAACCTTCGTTACTTTGACAATACCTTTGATCATAATTTTGTGAAATGATATCTAACATCAATGTGTTTAATCCTTTGATACATTTGATTTTTTTTTTTTTTTTATCCAAGATACATTTGATTTTCAATCAAATATATTGTACTTTGACAATGACAAAACACGGTAGAAACTTCTTGTTGGAAGCCTAAGTCACTGACCNACAAACAGGCATTTGACCAGAGCATCATTGCCTTTTCCATTCGATTTAGTACGCAACTTCTTAGAATTCAAAGATGATTTCACATCAAATAAGGAGATCCATACAACTTCGAATCAACAAAATTATTAAACAAATGAGATAGTGAGCATAAACACAATAAGGGTTTGATTTTTATCCACAATTTTGATATCAATATTTTTCAAATCCATAATAACTTTATTAAATTCATCAAGGTGCTCATTAATGTGCATACCTTCCTTCATCCTAAGTGTATACAATTGTTGCTTTAGATACAAGCAGTTGGCTAGAGACTTATTCATATACAACCTCTAACTTTTTCCAAAGCTCTTGTGCTTTATCTTCATCAGCGACCTCACGAAGAACTTCTGTAGGAGACAATTGAATTTCACAGAGTGCTTTTTTTTTCAATATCAACAACTATGGTCTTATTTCTCTCTTTAGAGCGAGATCCATCAATGACTTTTACCAAACCTTGCTGACAAAGCAATACCTTTATCTTGATTTGCCATAAACTAAAATTGTTTTGTTCAACAAATTTTTCTGTTCGAATTTTGTTGTAGTCATCCCGAAACCAAATCTTTAATACCAATTTGTTATGAACAAAGGCCAAAAACAATAAACGGAATAAAATAGGAAAAAATGCAAAATACACTAATTTATGTGGTTTGGGTCGACACACAAGCCTACGTCCACGGACGAAGCGCGACAAGATTTTACTATAAAATATGAAGATTACAAAGATCTCGAAAATAAAGGCAAGAGAACATGTGTTCAAACTATCTTGATATTGCATTTTTAATAGGACCCAAAACTCCTTTTTCAACAAATATTGGTTTAGTCCGAAGAAGACCCGAGAAAATAGAATGAGATCCCAGGTCGTTGACGTTGCTCGTGAAGTAGGCCAAAAACAAGTACCAATCAAGCTTCTCGACCAATTTTTTATTCCTTCACAAAGTCAGTCTTGTTGAGAAAAATTCGTCACGTGTTCGACAAGGCAACAATGTCCCACTTAATGACAAACATGTATTGCAAGCCAAACCTTCTCCAACTGACGAGAGATTGGTTCGAACTCGAACTCTCACAACACAAGGTCACTTGTTCACAAA